GGACTTGGGGTTTTCAAACGACAGATACGTCTTACCATTGCATTAAAACAAAATAAGAAAAAAATTAAGACGCCTGCTTTACAGTAAAGAGCTTTACAAATAAATTCTTTTTACAGATAAAAACATTTTACTTCGGAGGAAACTTTGAATAAGCAAAACGATAAAATATAGGTACAGTCATCCAGGAAGCCTACGAACTAGTCCGAAGGATCGAATCTCGCGTTAGTGATGGTTTGGCAGGGAATCCTATGGCAGCGTCACTTCTTAGTCTATGGCTCGTCTCAAAATAGACAGTAAGCGCGGGCCAGGCAGAAAAAGACACTCGTGGCTTCAAAATATGCGGAAGTGGTTCGAGATCACATCGGTCGAACTGTTCAGAAGCGCCGCAAACAAGATCAGCATTGCCATGTTAATAGCCAACGTTCGCAACGGACAGGGCACTTGAAGAAGAAGAAACTAATTAAAAAAGCCCATTCGGTTGCTAAATTATATTTCTGGCGAATAAATACAAGCCTGACACGCTTAAGCCGGTGTATAAACCGCTCATTCTTTAACTTTTACAATAAAGTGCTGAATACATTGAATAAAAATCATAAGCTAAAAGAGCTTATAATGTTTGTAAAGTTTTTAGTTCCACAGTAAAATTTGTTCAGGACTCACCACGATTTGTTCAATAATTTTCATTCAATTTTTATGAACATATGCATAGTTTCAAAGTTATGGAGATTTCCGCACAAATCCGGCAACATCTCAGTGGGTCTAGCTGACTTTAACCCAATTGAAGGCCGCCGGCAGCCGACGGAATACTTTTCCTTTCGATGGTGGAGTATAATTGTGACGTAACAATAGAAAATAAATTTGTAGTATTATTTATCTGATCGATTAATGAAAAGGTATCGTTTTTGTCACGTATACCAACCACATGATGGGACGTAATTTATTACTGTATCCTTGGTTGATAACTTCCGCGATGTCTATACAGGGGTTTTAGAATTTGGAAGGGGGTTTTGGTAAAAATCTTGTAATTTTTTACAGTGAAGTGAAAAACTTCAACCTTTTTAATTACGTTTCACCACTGGGTCTTCTTCTTCTAGTGCCGGCTCCTAGAGGCATTTCTTATAGCTAGCTAGCTTTCAATAGCTAGAGGTCTTACTTGTTGTTTTGGTTGCCCATTTGTCCAGAAGATTCATGTAAGTACCCCTTTGATTCATTTCTTCTTCTTCTAGTGCCGGCTCCTAGAGGCATTTCTTATAGCTAGCTAGCTTTCAATAGCTAGAGGTCTTTCTTGTTGTTTTGGTTGCCCATTTGTCCAGAAGATTCATGTAAGTACGCCTTTGATTCATTTCTTGTAGTTGCCTCAATCCAACACCTTTGCCATTCACTTATCCTTGGCCCCAGCTCTCCAAATAAACCCTGAGCGCCGTTCGCATAAGTTTCGATTTTTTTTGCTTGCCCTATCTCCGCTCCAATAAATTCTGTCCCCAATTTTCAACTCCCCATAATAATACCCTATGTAGTAGGCAAAATATTTCGTTACAATACAATTGAGTAAATAAAATAATTAATTTTATTGTTTCGCCATAATAGACCGCCCCGTCAACGGTGAGTCACCTTTGGTCGTGTTTTAAAATTCATTCGAGCATATTTCGCATACGAAATTAAAAGAAATTCGCTCGTAATCCAATTTTGTGTATTTTCGAATACTGCGTGTACGAATTTTTTTGTACACGGCGCGGCGACTCGAATGGGTCTGAACCATTCGAATATCGATCGATGCTCGTATACGATACTTACTTTACTTTATCGTGTCCGGACATGTCATTCATAAAATTTCGGCCCAGTATCGGGCTACGTCGGTTCCATCTTTGTTGGCGAGCCACAAATCTTCAAGGGTACATCGATGAGGACAGTTTCTGCATGTAAGAAGATGTTCCATATTCTGTGTTTCTCCACAGTCACAGTTCACATCATCTTGGTCTATTTTTCCCCATTTTGCCATGTTTGATTTTACTGTAGCAACCCCCGTTCTTATCCTATTCAAGGTTTTCCACGTTTTAAAGTCTAGGGTCTGGCCGGTCCATTGAACCTGGGGAGGTGGAAAATACTCAGGCGGTTCATCCTGCACTGTTCCAAGGAAGCTTTTCCTAGATTTTAGTCGCTTTCGTGGTGTTCGAGCTTTGTATGGGGCATGCCGATTGTCCGCGATCTGTTTAATTTTCTATATGTGTTCTGCAGCGCCTCTGCGTGTTGAGGGTTCTGCAAAACCCGCTGCTCTATATAGATTTGAAAGTGGCGTTGGTTTCATGCACCCAGTTACTATCCTGAATGTCTCATTTAGCGCAGTATCAACTTGTTTGGCGTGGGCAGTTCTGCTCCAAACGGGGCACGCGTATTCAGCAGTTGAGAAACACAGTGCCTGTGTCGTTGTTCTTAAAACGCCAGGACGTGCACCCCATTTAGTTCCCGTTAGCTTTCTGAGTATGCTGTTCCTAGTTGTTACTTTCCCTCTTGTTTTTATGCAATGTTGTCTGTAGGTGAGGGACCGGTCCAGAGTTACTCCAAGATATATAGGTTGATTTGTGTGTTCTAATACATTACCATTCCACACAATTTGGAGTTTTCGCTTGGCTTCCTTTGTGCGAAGGTGGAAAGCGCAGACTTGGGTTTTAGAGGGATTGGGTCTCAGAGAATTCTGCAGGTAGTACGCTGTCATTGTTTTTAAGGCAGTTTCGAGTTTCTCCTTCACTTCTTCAAAACTATTTCCTTGAGCACATATTGCAAGATCGTCAGCATAGAGGAAGTGCTTGGTTTCGGTCGGAGTAGGTTGGTCGTTTGTGTATATATTGAAGAGCATTGGTGCTAAAACACTTCCCTGTGAGAGGCCGTTTTTTTTAACTCTCCACCTACTTACTTTACCCTCCAGCATAACGAAAAAACGTCTATTTTGCAGTAAGGAATATACGACCTTTCCCAGATGGTGGTCATTGAGAGTGTCGTATAATTTACGGAGCAATGTTTTGTGCCTTACTGTGTCATAGGCTGCTGTCAGATCTACAAAAGCAGCCCCTGTTATAAGTTTTTCTTCAAAGCCCTCTTCAATGTGTTCCGTTAATGCGAGGACTTGACCGGTGCAAGATTTGCCAGGTCTGAATCCTCCTTGTTGTGGGATGAGGTGCTTGATGAGGTACACAATAGCGAAATAGGTCTGTAGCTACTGGGGTCTTCTGGATCCTTTCCTGGTTTTAACAAGGCTATTACTTTAGTATTTAGTATTTAAGTATTTTAGTATTTAGTATTTAATCGTATACGATTAAAATACATGTCATTTCATTTGTCGCTGAGCCCGTGAAAAGTCAGATAAGATTTCAGCTGATACGAGTAAATTTTAATCGTTGTCATACAATATTTTTACATTGAACTTTGTTTTCAATGGCTGGTTTAAATAATTTTTTAAATAAAGAGATATAATGAATGCCATTGTAGAGGTGGAAATATTAGCGGAACAGAGAGGCAGAGTTTACCAACCCTTTCTTAAGTCTCTAAAGAACTATTCTAATACAGATTCAAAAATTGTACAGATTAACAAAGCCCTCACAATGAAGTTGATAGGATTAAATGGCTCTTTTTTTGTTCGACCGACACTGAACTACCATATTTCATGCCCTTTTTTACTCCTTTGAGTTAATTTACAAGAAACGAATTGTTTTAGATGACAAAACCGTAAAATAGGTTAAGTAAAACTGTCAATTATTCTTCATTTTTTTATTTGTGCTTTAGTTGTTCGAATTTGCATTGTTGCCGGTGCAAATTCTCGTATACGTATAACATTTCGAAGGACGTTCAAATTCAATTTCGTATACGAAATTTTTCATTCGAGTTTACTCTTATACGAAAAAAATCGATTGAATTCGAAAATACGACCCCTGTATATTGAAATAGTGTGGTTTAATATACATTTACAATACTTTCGTCCGTCAATCATTAAAACCCGTAGATAAGGTAAACACCTACCAATATCTTGAAGAAAAACTAAAAATATTGTCGACTTCTACACAAAAACCAGTTATCGTTATTTAATACAATAATAAAATGAGCAAACATTAAAAGAAGCTTAAAAAAATATTAGGTAACAAATTACATGTAGCGTTTATTGTAAAAGCAAACCTTTTGATTGGTTCGGACAAATAAGGTGATAGTAATGATAGTTGGGTAATTAAATATGAATGATTGTTTAAAAATATTTTCCATAATAATAAATATAGAATACTGGTATGACTGGTATTAAGATAAAAATGTGTGGAGGAATGTAGTTACAGAAAACGACCCTATGGGAATAATTAAGAGACTAATAAAGAAGGGTAGATGTTACGATCTCTACATGGATGTCACAGCTACTTCGTATACAAGTGGTCGAGATGGAAATAATGTAAGACACCTTCGCACCTAAAAGACTAGAGACTGTCCTCAAGAGGGAAATCGGTCCTAATCATGTAGATTCTAAGTTTTGTGCAATTTTAGAAACCTTGAGCCATTCTGTTTTATAATAGCTCTATGTTTTTCAAAGTATACTGTGACTGTCTTATCTGGCATCTTAAAAGTTTGTTTTTCATTCCCGAAAACGCAAAGAAATTGCACTGTGCCAAATCAGGACTGTATGCAGGATGGCCTTGTCGATCGATGATTTTCGTCTTCAAGTAATAAACTTAGTTGATTTATGTGTCGATATCAAACAAATACTATAACAAATATCATTCACAAACTAGTCGATTATTTAGTAGACAAACTCTTCTTCATAAATTTTTGAACGATTTGAACGATTATAATTGCAAATAGTGGTTTAGCATATGGTAAATGTATATATTCTTGTTAAAGTTTTCCATACTGCTAAAATTGCTAAATTTAGCGACAGTATTTCTTATAGTTAAAAATACTTTATATGACGATAGGCGTTTTGCATACATTTCTAGTAAAATTGTAAACAATATTCAAAAAACACTTACCGAGTTGCTGTTGCTTCTGAAACGAAAACAAATAATAATCATTAATAAAACACAAATAAAGATGCAATACAATAATATTTAGAAAGATGGTCTCAGATTTAATTTCAATGTAGGGCATTTGCCAGCCGCTTATGTGTACTTCAACTTCATTAGATATCATCAGAGCGACATCTACAGAGGCTCCGAATCGAAATTAAATCTCTCCCGTCATCGTACAATAATTATAAAAATAATTAGTTTCGCCAAGTAGGAACTGTTAGGATTTCTAATGTTACAATAATATTCCTTTACCAATTTTACTGAAAATAACACTCTATTCAGGAATGTTTCCTTTATGAGATTGCATATAACAATTACCACACTATCAATATAAAAATAAAAAAACGTAATGAAATTAAGGAGATTTAAAGAAAACACGATACCTTCTGTAAACATACAACGAAAAAAGAAGCAGGAGGTAAATAGAAGCAGTCACTCGACATTTATTGAAAGTAGAGACGGCACTTGTAAATGAGCGTTTCCGAAATGCCGTCAAAAAAGTCACTACATATCCTGGAGCAGATATTGGATCTGATCATCAACCACTTGCAAATATTAAACTAAGGTTAAAAGGAATTCAGCTACAAAAATCAAAAACCAATGAACTAAATTTTGACGATATAAACATAAAACATAACATTAAAAAAAGAATTTAACAATAGAATAAAAAACATCGGAGAACAACTAGAAGATCCAGAAGAACTATGGAGTGAATTTAAAAACCAAGTTAACGAAATTTCCACAAACAATGATTATAGAAAAAATGAAGATAAATAAATGGATGACAGACATCTTGAAATTAATGGAACAACGTCGACCGATAAAATCTAATGTAACAGAATATAGACACCTGCAGAGAAGAATAAAAAATGAGATCAAATTAGCCAAAGAAAAATGGATGAGAGAAAGGTGCGACGAAATGGAGGATGTTTTGTTATTATTGACAATAATAACAAAATTATTGTAAATGAGCACGAAATAAGAAAAAAATAGCAGCTGTATATATTAGAGTTGTTTGAAGATGACAGGAATAATATTGCCGAATTCTACCAAAACTGTACTGATGGCCCAGAAATTATGAAATGCGAGTTATAACATGCTAAAACTAGAAAACTTTATGGTCCAGATGATACACCAACTGAGTTGCTAAAACTAATAGAGAATGACAACATATGAAAGAAGCCTTATTTGAAGATACAGGCATTAAAATCAACGGAATTAATGTCAACAATCTCAGATATGCAGACGACACGGTACTTATTGCCTCCAATGAAGAAGACCTGCAACGACTTATAAACAGGGTAACTCAAGCATGTGATGATGAATAATACTTCTAAGACAAAATTTATGGTTGTCAGCAAAACGGAGTTACAAAAAACGAACATCAGAACGTATGGAATAGAGTTAGAAAGAGTCCACAATATTACCTACTTGGGTGCAAACGTTAACGATAACTGGGATATAAATAAAGAAATAAGAATACGCATTGAAAAAGCCAGAGCCGCCTTCTATAAATTAAAGAAAATTCTAATTAATAGAGATATTACGTTAAACCTTAAAATCATATTAATACGCTGCTACATATTCTCCACATTGCTGTATGGTATGGAGAGCTGGACCCTTACAGAGACATTAATGAAAAAATTAGAGGCCTTTGAGATGTGGATTTAGCGACGAGTATTGCGGATAATTTGGGTTGATCGGATAAGAAATGAAATCGTTTTGAATGAAAAAGAGCACAGAAATAACAAAAACGATAAACATTCGAAAGTTACAATATTTCGGTCATGTAATGAGACATCCAGAGAGGTATAACCTTCTACACCTCATAATACAGGGTAAGATCGCCTCAAGGAGAGGCCCAGGCCGACGAAGAACATCCTGGCTCCGAAATCTCCGAGAATGATATCAAGAAACCACCGCTAATTTATTTAGAGCCGCCTTAAATAAAGTAATTATTGCCAATATGATCGCCAATGTTCGATAATCGGACAGGGTACCTACTGAAAGAAGAAGAAATACCTGTTTAAAAAGCTTTAGACACCTGCGAAAAATTTTGCCGTGAAATCGATGATTTTTGCATAACCAGACTGGGCTAAAATAAGGAAAAGAAGACATTCTAGATTACAGATGAACGGACGCATAAAAACAGCAATGGAAAAAAAAGACCTGACTGAAAAAGACAAATACATGACAAGAAGAAATGGCGGTTGTGAAGTCGTAAACAGAAAATGGAATTATAGTGTGTAAAGCCACGGATAGGTAAGTAAATAAGTGAAATGCCAGAAGAATATACCTTCAGAACAATATTAGGAATTTTAGTGTTTTTTGAAAAAAAAAAAAAAAATTTTATTGGCAACCCATCCAGCCAGCAGCAAATAAGTAATAACGTTCACTTAATAATCTAATCTAACTAAACTAAATACACTACAATTCTGAAAATTAAATGAAGAATTACAATGGGAGAGTAACTAGGATTACTTTTCGCACCTAGGGGTCGTTCAAGGTGACTCGCAGACAGTAAGTGTAGTCCACGGAAAGTATAGAGGTACAGAGGTAACGAGCCTAATACCTACACTAAAGTTTTAAGTTACACATTTTAATAAACTTAAGAATAATTTTATATACCTTGTACATATTTAATGATGTAATTAGTTGGATTTGTAACTTAGGTTTAGAAAAAATTCATGAAAAAAATAACTAAAAAAAAATAATTAAAAAAAAAAGATTAAGAAAAGGAATATAAAAAAAATACTTAAAAATAGATTTAAAAAGAAAAAAATTAATCAAAACAACAAGAAAAAACAGGATTATAAAAAATATATTGAAAAAAAATTTAAAAAAAAACAAAAAAAAAACGAAAAAAAAAAATAAAAAAATAGTAAAACAATCACTAAGAGGATCTAAACCTCCGAGTTGTTGAATCGGGTTTAGGTCCTAACATAGTAAAAAAAATAGTACATTGTTTACCGGGTAGGAAAAGCTTAACATTCCTGGACGACTGTGAAGATTGCTAAGTCGAGGCGCAAGCCGAGACTTAGCAACACAGAGTCCAGGAATGTGGCTTTTCCTACGAGGTAAACATACTATTTTTCCGCAAATCGTTTAAAATTCGACAGATATTGATTGATTTAAAAAAAACGCGATAATTTTATTCCCAAATAAATGGTGCTTTGAAATTCCTAATAAAATTACTTGGGTTACTATGAAAACGTATTGAGGTTGAATTGTCAAACTTGAGGCTTATAAATTTAATTACTGGTGTTCTCGAAAGTAAAATGATAAGTGATGATGAAATTTCCATTCCTGGGACTCCTCCAGAGCTGGTTGAGGCAGTGAATACTGCTTCATTACAATTATTGCCAAAGAAATCAAGAGAAAAGTACGAAAATGCATACAGACGTTTTATGGATTATCGCATGAGTAAAAATACGAGTTCTTTCTCAGAAAATGTTGTAATGGCATACTTCCTAGACCTTTGTTTAAAGATGAAATCTTCAACATTATGGGCCAATTATTCAATGCTGAGGTCAACCCTTGCACTACACAATGTAGATATATCTACATACTCAAAACTTCGTTCTTTATTGAAACGGCAAGCTCAAGGTTATAGGGCAAAGAAATCTAAGATTTTAACGAAGGAAGAAATTGAAAAATTTATCTAGGAAGCTCCAGATAAAGAAAATTTAATGATTAAGGTAATTTACAAGGTTTTAATTTCTATTTAGATTATAGCTTTATTTATTTTTTAGGTGGCTGTAATATTTGGTATTTCTGGGGCCTGTAGAATGGATGAGTTAGTCCGAATGACTGTACACGATATAGAAGACTTAGAATCTAAGCTTTTAATCAGCATACCTGATTCGAAAACCAACAAACCAAGATCATTTGTAATTAATCAGATCTACTTGAATGTTTATCGAAAGTATGTTTCGTTAAGACCAGAAAATATGAACAGTGACCGATTTTTCTTTAAATATCAAAGCGGAAAGGGTTGTAGACAAGTGGTAGGAATTCATCAATTTAGAAAAATGCCCAAAATAATTGCTACTTATTTGAACTTGGTAAATCCGACAGAATATACTGGTCACTGCTTTCGTCGGTCTTCTGCAACAATATTGGTTGACTCTGGTGCCGACATAACTAGTTTAAAGAGGCATGGCGGATGGAAGTCATCAAACGTTGCTGAAGGATATATCGAAGAATCGCTTAACAATAAGGTTGAGGTGGCAAATAAAATTTTCACAGTACAAAATATTCAACAAAATGACACTTCCACCCTGCATGTTGTCCAAAATGTTTCTCATAGTTCTAAGAGTGTTCCTCCAATGTTCAATAATTGTACTAACTGTCAAATTACTGTAAATATAACAAATTGATCTTAAAAATGTATTCAGCAATGACTTGATGTTTTCAAAATATAAATTAATTCCTTATAAGCAATGCGTTTTCTATCATTTATGTAGAACACTAACAACTGTACGGAAATATTATTTCCTTACAGTAAGGAAATGACATTTCCTTACAGTAAGGAAGTCCTGACTTTTTCTTCAAGAAATTTTGACAGGAATGTCAAAATTTCCTGGCGATTTGCGGAAAAATATATTACCATATTAATTTTTATTAAGAATAGTAGGTAGATATTTTTATTTGTAAAATGTATACACTATGTAGATCACATGACGTCTTTCAATAACTAAATTATAACAAAGGTGTGATATAGTATTTATTAACATAGTATGTACATTAGCTTAGTAAGGAATAATTATATTATTATTATTATTATTATATTAATCATGTTTCACTAATTGACATATTTAAATTCTTATAATATTTTTATATTCTTATTCTTATAATAATTTAAATTCTTTAAATAAACTGTATGTTGATGTTGATCGAGACTGGCTGAATGACAATTGTCCAAGCCAAAAACATGCTTCAAAAACATGCTTCATGCTTTTTGAAACTTCTTGAAGT